AATATATAAGAACGAAATTKTGAACTAATGATTTATCAAAAACTATGAATATATTACAATAGAGGATATTTCATGGGCTAGTGGAGATACGGCAAATTATGTTGTAAAATAACTTTTTTCTTGCTTTTACTATACAGTTGAATCTCCTGTAAGTGGACACCCTTGGGAAATGAAAGTGTCCGCAAGTAGAAATGTCCGTCTATTTAGAAAAGAATCTTAAAACGGCTAATATAATAATAAACATAAAATATTCTTGTTTAATTGTCAAAAAAACATTCCTAATGATTAACGTTAACATTAAGATAGTGTGACTCAATGGTTAAGCGATTTATTTTACAAATACTCTTTCTAGTCACGCTTAAAGAACTTTGTTTTTTCTAAAGGCTGAAGGCCAGTGAAAGAGTGAGCAACACTGCAAAGGGTGTTATTACAGGAAAGCACACCAACAGCAGAGGAGGCTATGGACTAGAAGTGGCAGGTGATTATCACTTTATCGGCAAATAAATTTTCGATAAATTACCTCAAATCCAAACTCAAAAAAGAAGGCCATACTAGTCTTATCATTCACAAGCTTGTTAAACTGAAAAATTACTGTATTATTAATCTCAAAAATAGATCAAATGAAAGTTATTGAATTTAAGTGTCCGCTTACGGGAGATTGAAAATAATAGAAAAGGTCACTTGGGAAACGCTATTTAGTGTCCGTTTACGCTTACTAGAAAGTCCGCTTAATAGAAAGTACAAACACAGTGTTTGTATGGGAGGAAAAACAGGGTTTTGAAAAGCTGTCCATAAGTAGAACTGTCCACTTACAGGAGCATCTGTAAACTTAGAGATTCAACTATATAGAGAAACCTCAAATGTGTTATTTTCACTAGTGAAAATATCAACTTTTCGAAATGGAGAAATATAGGTATTTCATAGATAATTATATGATAAATGAATTTACATTATAACTGTACTGAGTTTTTTTAAATTAAAACTTTATAATATTAAACATTCGCACATTATCACCCCTGACCAGTGATWACATGATCAAGAGCTGAGAAAAACACTAGTTAATAAGTTCAGGTGGCTWTGCACTAGTTGAGCTGTCATTCTCATCATATCTCCTTTCCTCATATACAATCAATGTCTTGGCTAAGTGAAGCTATATCCTCCACCTGCCAAAATCATTGCAACACATTAGCATGARAGGAAAGGTYCAATTTACATGACATAACCTGGATGATTTGTACTGTATGTTTCAAAAAAAGCATTAGCTTATTAAACTCACATGACCTGATACATTATTTATTAAGGAAATGATGAACATTTAGAATATGACACCTTCCATCAATTATTATTTGAGATATTAAAACTTTATATCGATTCTACACCAGACGTTGGCCTGATATCTCCTCATTTTCATTTTTATCTTAAAAAATATTTGTADACTGAGTGAAGCTGTCTCTTCCATATTTAATTRCCATTTGRTAAGTTGTAGTGCTTGGTAAATTTCCAGTTATTTGTTTTGAAAAGAAAATAATCTCCGGAAGTCTGACTAACTCGTAGCTGTTCCTCTTTCGCTTATTGCTAGTATATTTTTCCGCTTGGCGTTGGCCTTCATCGCTTTTTTGCAATTCCTGTTATCATATGCAACAACCAAATAATAAACACACCCTAATAAAGGATGTTGTGCCAAAATGTCTTTATTCACATATARTCAAGGCTTTAATCACACTAAATATAAGTGGTTAACTTTCAAAATGATAAAACCGAACTATTGGTAGACATAATAAGTTTACATTGCGGACCCCAGAAAGGAAATTCGGMCGCGTACTTGGATTGGGGGAGCTATAATCTTTACTCTGACCTCTTGTACTTTCCTTTGTTTCAAGTCAGTCACAGCTTTTCAGTAAAAACTCACCTTGTTTTATCTACAATCGCTCGAGACTAACTAAGGAGATCAAGAGAGTAATGGTCTGCTAGTGAAAATTTCAGTGTCACTTTTGGCCTCAGGCCTTTCACGTTGGAATTATAAAAAAACAATGAAATCCCTAAAAGTTCAATGTAGTTCGGCATGATATGTTTACTTTTCACAGAGCTTCGCGAAGAACTGTTTCTAAACGTCAGATATAAACGAGCACAATATCTCGACAAGTTTAATATCGGTATTGTCAGCTTTTAGACGAAGAAGCGTCACTTCTCTGTTTTGAATGCGTAGCTATGAAGCTATAGAGCAATTTTACAGACTGAAAAAACGACCTTCTGCATTCGATTAGATGTACTTGAGCAATTCCCAGTCACTGACTTTCCGGCTATACTTTCTRAGGCTTAATATTTAATGGTCAATTAAAGCAATATAATGTAGTTTGTATTTGTAGWGCAGTCACAGAAGTTTTAAAATTCAACAGCAACCTTCAACTCACCARTTTGATGCAAGGTAACTCACAACTTGTCGAGATTTCGTCTTTGGATCACAATCCATGTTTATAATCTTTACATCACTTTTAGTACAATCTGCGGTGTTTCCATGGCGGATAAGGCAGAGAAGGGGTAGTAAAGCGAAGATTATAACARACATGTTGAATTTTAGTAGTGCATTGGAACGATCTAATCTCATTCGATGAATAGAAGGAGATTGGGCACTAGCCAAATTTATTCTTGCCAAATTCTTTTGTTTCTTCTTTTGCGCATTGTTTGATGGAGATTACATCATAGCAGTCTGCTTACATTAAAAAATAATTTGCGTAATGGTTGTTTTTTTTTGGACAAATAAAAAAAAAACTTATAAATTTTGTAAAAACAATTTTACATGTAAACACTTAATTGTATGACATGAGCCAAATCTCTGGCAGTTAGATTCCTTTGTACTATCACTCTACAAAATCAAATAAAAAAATATTAATTTAGTGTAGTGTGTGTTATATTTGATGCTATTTGTGTGTGCCTTGCTTTCTGACTCGACGTTCTTTCTTGCTTTTCACAGTTTTTTATAAAATCCTTTTTGGGCCTCCTGTTTATTTGACCTAGTCTTTTCTCGGATATTCCAGCAACGCCTGCCGAAACATGTAAAAAGTGCAGATGTTGACATTTTCTGTGTTCTTTTCCTWTTCATTCGTCGAATGGGGCTCATCAAAGGCGTTAGTCATTTTATTTTTCTTTGGAAAATGATAGCAAGAAGCTCTATGAGATTATAGGAAAACAAATGCGATGGATGGTCTMCCAAACGAACTCATTGACAAAATACTMAGTTATCTCGATGGSCTTTCGTTTGCAAGATCATTKTGTGTTTGTCGAACATGGAGGCGGCTTCATGAACAAAATCATTATAATTCACATTGGAAACGCATCTGTTTAGAAGAGTTTACTCCAGAAGCACTTTCAGACATCACAGGATATTCTTTGAACAAGTCAAAAAATAATTTAGACTGCGACTTTGTTAAAAAAGAAAACTTGTCAAACTTGCAGAATGTCAACTGGAAGGAAGTTTACAAGGAGTGCTAYCGAAGCTGGTTTATTGGTAAATGGCCTAGTCTAGGAACAGAGTTAATAGGACATTCAGGTGGGTACATCTAAATTTAARCTGGGCTGTCTTTAGGATGCATCGCAATRATTATTTTGAGGTCAGGGTTCTTTGAACAATTCTATTAAAAGACAGATTAACTCATTAGTCTGATGGATCTGAATTTTACAGCAGATGTTATGCACATAGGAAATTGTTAAATGACTTCCTTTTTATCATAATTAATTCGTKTTTCAATTTATAGCAACGGTATATAAAAAAAGGGAACAGGTTTTCTAAAGAATTATCTTTTGAAATTACAGCATAGTTAACGAACACAAATGCTATTGGTTTTTTCAAAAAGCTGAAATAATAAAAAAAAGATTATGTGATGCTGTGGGAAGGTGGTGATCTTCTAAAAGTAAAGGATATTTTGAGGTTGACATTAATTGGATAATTTCCAATATCATAATAATAATCTATTTTTTAATCTATTCATAAACAAGTTTTTATTTGAAATCTGACACCAAGTTCTCATATGACTTTCAGAGTGTGCACGTACAAAGTTAAAAATTGTTGTCAGGCGACACCACAGAGAATAGATTGTAGCACTAGTACCTTTTTATCAAAATGATTTTGTTCATCTTATAGGGCAAGTCTATGATGCCAAGTTTTCGGGTGATAGAGTTATCACCTGTGGTGCTGATGCTACTGTKCGAATATGGGACAGCTGGACTGGTAGTTGTCTTCACATTTTACAAGAGCATCAGCAGGATGTTGTTTGTCTTGCCTTACGAAGAAAAACTGGTATGTTTTCWCTAGAAAACAGTAAAAGTGCACAATACTTTTTTTATTAAATATATAGAATGGAAATAGTATAATTCAGTGTATTTATTTATATTGCTTGTACTCTAGCTGTCTTAAAGGCCCAGTGTGCACCATGCTTTGGGGGTCGTGCCGGCCTAGAGGCAGCCATTTTCAGTTTACTGAAAGTCTATAAATTGTACTGTGCATTTCAAATCTTTGACCACCTCACTTTTTTTAGTAACAATAACAGAGGCGCGCAAAGCATAATGGTGCAAACTGGACCTTTAATTGTTTACTTCAACTTCCTTTGTCAATCAAATTGCTCAAAGATGAAATATTCACTTGCCTAATAAAATACAAGCTTTCATGACATTGTCTTATCTCTGAATATCCATCAAAGTCTTTCACTGTCACAATAGCCTGCTAACAGGTGTTCCTGCTGGGGGGCCGAGAGAAAATGGGGAGGAGAGGAGCGTGACTATGCATCCATTTCCTTCATTCCATATTTTCAGGTGTTTCATCACATGATGATCAGCCCCATGATCTTATCATCTCTGGTTCTGAGGACCGCACTGTCTGTATTTGGAACATGCAAAATGGGAAGTGCATAAAAAGGCTGCAGCAGAGCTCACGAGTGAACTGTGTTGCCGTGTTAGGTTCCATCATTGTTGCTGGCTGTGGAAATCAATTTGCTGAAGTTTGGGATATAAGTAAGGTAACTTAATCTTGGTTTATTTACGTTAGTTCATGAAGTGCAAGTTGGGAGATTCTATGAATAGATCAATCAAAAAAATGTGTAGGTAATGTGGAATGTTTGTGCAGTTTTACAAAATGATTACATTATAAATTAAAGGAGTATTATGTTAATTAAACAATGCATGTTTCAGGACAATGAGAATGAGCCAATTTGTGCTGTTGGTACTGAAGACTGGATCACATATGTTGGTATCTGGGATGAATTCTTTATAACTGTTACTGCAAAAAACAAACTTGACTTTTGGTAAGAAAACTAATATATAGGGTATGTGAAAGCTATAATTTGTACATGTGTACATAGATTAAGTTATTCACTGGATAAAGGTATTGATGGATTTTTTTTATCACCTGGATGATTTTTATGTGGTTCAGGTCCATGCAGTAGCACTCTTGTATTCACTCTTTGTGCTAACAGAACCTGGCTGATATTCCATCATTTCATGTACTATTTTTCTTTATCATACTAAGTATAATTATCTATGAAATACCTATATTTYCACTAGTAACACATTCCTGGTTTCTCTATATATGGGAGGTAAATAAAAGGGATTTTAAAACACAATTTGCCTTCATAATAATTATATGATAAACAGAATATTATATGGCCGCTTGGAGATACAAATTTTATCTTGTCATGTTGAAAATCTCTYGTTTGTTTGCATGTTTGCTATGTTCACTCATATCATGAGAAATCTTTTCAACAATTGAAGATACTAAAATCTGTATCTCTGTTCACCCATGTAGTATCCTCATGTATAATATATATTCTGTGTAATATCAGGACATTGTCAGGTGGTCAAATTGCCTCTGTCATCAGTCATGCCAATACAAACATCACTTGTGCTGCACTCAGAGGAGACAGAACATTGACATTAAGCTACTGTGGAAAGCTGTCAGCATGGTGAGTTYGATTGATCAAAACTCCTCATCCTCTTCATGCYTCWTRGMTGAGAACAGAGTAGTCATAGAATAAATTAACAGTCAAGTAACGTCAAACTTCTGCTAATTTGTACAAACTAGTGAATAGCACTTCAGGAGCATAATGGCTCCCTGGAGTGACTTCAGAATATCCTGTCACATTCTTGGGGAAAACCAAAATAATATTGAAAGTCATACAAAATACAATAAATTTTAATGATATTCATCAAATGACAAGGTATTCATCCTAAACTAGAAAGCTCCCTGATGTTATGTCTATAACATGTCTCTTGTATTGAAGTGAGATCATATTCCTCCATGGCTATAAAATTATGTAGATGATAAACACATAACTCTTATATCTCTGCTATGACTAGCCTAAGATGTATGTCTGCAAGTGAGGGCTGTTTCATTTGACAGCTGACTCTTGTGCAAAAAATCCTTCCTCCTCCCCCCCCCCAAAAAAAACACAAGAAATCATGTAAAAATATTGTTTTAAAGATCTAAATTTTCTGTAAAAGACTGTATTCCCAAAACATCCTTGAAAATAAAGATTAGTTATGAGATTACCTACTCGTTAAATATGTGGCAGTATTCTTTGACACTTATTAAAGCTAAAAAATGTGCTTTCTTCTTAGTCAACACAAAATGGTTGATGGAGCAATTGACTTTAGTATCTTACGATGCTACAAAATCATCGCAGCAGGCATTGCAGGCATTCTAGAGGGCACATGTATGGTTGTGTATGGTAATCTCGTTGCTATAGGAACAAAACATGGTGCGATCAATGTTTATCATCTGGAGAAGGACTGGGATAAGCAGGTTTGTATAATGATATATAAGGAAGCATAAATTACTCAGCTTTACTTCCTTGACRAGGAAACAACAAAATAGCCTTTTTTATACATCATTGCCAAGTAAATGCTACATTTTTTTTAACGGCACATTTACACTAGTGATTTTTGCGTTCATCTAGATCTCAGTGAAAACATGAGAATTAAGAATTAACTTATAAAGTTTTATTCAGTGCACTGAGACATAGTAGACTGAGATGAGCTAACTAASCGTCTCTTCACAAGGATAACTAGACAACATATATTATATTTTTGAAAACCACCGTTGAATCCCCGGACTCCCAATCCCCGGGGAGGGCCGGGGAATTAACACATTATAGCCGGAGATTTAACATTGTTTAACAGCACAATCAACGAGAAGTCTTGTGAGAAACGATCTGTTTAGCCGAATTTTTTGGCTTCTAAAGGCCGGGAAGTACCGGGACTTTAACATTGTTGAAATGTAAATTCACCCGGTATTGMCCGCGGGGTCGGGGGCCCTTGTTTCATTTGACTGTGCATTTCGTTAAAGATAATACATATGGATGGTTAAATGCATGAGAGATATTGTCCAAAAACTTTCTCCGTTGGCTTGGGCTGTGTTTCGATCTCTTAAATATCTCAAGTCACGCAGTAGTAGGTCGTTTTTGATAATGATGAATTTGATTAAGCACCTTTTGTTCTTTAAGTCATTCCTAAACCCCCTTTTTCCAGTTTCAGCTGATTCACACAGTCATCCATAGCTTTGAGTTAACGAGCTTTAATGCAATTGACATCAGCGATGATGGTACAGGACCATGTTTACTATCCGCGGGGCAGGATGGGATCGTTCGGGTCGAAAGATGGTTCCCTTGGCCAATTAAGTGATCGGTAAGAATAGTGCATTATGGCTGGTTCTTGAACAACAAAACGGAAACATTAACACAGACGTAAGGCATCACAGACAAGACGCAAGCGCAAGCACAAGTACAAGTGACATCCTAGAAGACGTATGCAAAAATACAAATAACTATGCTCTCTTGATTAAGCATTTGTCAATAGTTTTCAAGTGTTTTTAGCTCGTCCTCATTTTACCAACTGGAAAGAATCAAAGCAATAAATGATGATGATGCTCAAAATGTTCCTTGTTTAAAACAACATGCAGTCGCCCTATAGATGATCACAGACAAATGCCTGCGTTTTCTTGCATAAATGCGCTGCTAAAGCTCAACTTTTGCCTACAACCATCACATGCAACCCAAGTCGTCTTTGAAACGTCCATACGACTGTTGTAAAAAGTTCTCCGACTAATTCGGATTTTATTGTGTGAAAAGTGCAATGATTGAAACGACGTACTGAACTGCCTTGGTCGTGACAAGGTATTGTGAAACATAGATCGCAGAAATTTTCAGCTCTTTGATAATGAAATCCCGGGGGGACACCGAGGTGAAAGTACCGGGGATGCTCGTCGGATCTCTTAGGGGTAAAAATTCGTAATTGGAAATCTTTTAGGGTGCCAATTTGAGTTTCTGGAAATTTGCATTTTCTGCAGTCTCTTAAGGTGWCGTAAAAAAAGAGAAAGGGCGCATGGATATTGATTTTCCTCTACGTTTTTATTGGAACTGATTTAATTTAACAATATTTGTTGTGCAATCTCTTAGGGGTTAACAATCAGTCAGCCACGCCCTTTTTAAAAGCCTTCCGGGATCTTTTAGGGGTCTTTTCGGAAAATTTCTGACGAGCATCCYAGGTACTTTTACCCCGAAGTCCCTTCTCACCCCCCGCCCGGGGTTGATAATTTCATTCAGTCACATTGTGTAATGGATTGAGAAACTTGTCTTGTAAAAACAAAACTTGAAAACTTGTAAAATTTGGGAATTATAAACTATGGAAAAGGTTAATCCGAGGCCAGTTGGAATTGTGGGTGCTGCAAGGTCTCGAATCCACCATTTTCCATGAAGTCATGGTTGACGCAATTACTGTGATATGTAATATGTATGTTTTATTA